ATCATATCCCACAACAGGCCTGATTTTGTACCTCCTGCTTCATTTATTGTCCATAATTCTAACTATTCTTTCTTTACCTTTTCTATTACTTCTGAGTACTAGAAAATGTTAATATCCAGTCTCCATCTTTTAGAATCTTTATATTTTTAATCTCAAACTCTATTGAAATCAAAGCATGATATGTTATTTTTATAGAATGAATCTCAGTATTAACTATCTTAGAAATTAAATCTTGAGATTTGAAATATAAAATCTATTCTGGAATAATTTATATACTGCTGAAAAAATAAGTATATCTTCTTTCATCACCTTTCATTACCCTCCAAATATCCTTCAAATGATAATGTTTTACCTTCTTGCTCAATAGTGTGTTTCTTTGGAGAACATCATTCCGATCATAAAAAGTTTTATCCTTTATCTTATCCATAACCATATTAAAATTTCCTGCCATAATAACATAATCCATCTTTACCTTCTCCGTTTCTTTAATAACCATGTCATAAAAATCTCCATGTTTAGTATTAGGTTCGTAAACATTAACCAAAGTACATTATTCCAAACCCAATTTACCCTGTATTATTATAAATCTACCATTACAATCTTTTACTACCTGTTTTACTGTAAATTCACAATTTTTAAAAATTATGATTGCCACACCTCTAGATTTAGATGTTCCAAAGTTATTTTCATAAATGTCTATATTATTCAACTTAAGTTCATTAACTCCATCTTCTGATTGATGAGTTTCTTGCACAAAAACAATATACACCTTATTTTTCTTCAATAATGCTTCTTCTTTTCAAGTATTATTATTTTCAAAAAGTATATGCATCACCCATTACACTTGAAAAAACACCAGAACTGGTACATTCTTTTTGAAAACAAATTGTATGATTTTGGATGTACAGTGGTGCCTCGCTTAACGAGCGCACCGTATAACGATGAAATCGCATATCGATCTCTTTTTTGAGATCGCTAATGCGATCGCTTACCGATGGCCTCTATGGCAAAAACTTGCATTGCGAAGATCGGTAAGCGTTTCGCTTACCGATCTTCGCATTGCGACGCCGGGAAATCAGCTGTTCAGCGGCTCCAAAATGGCTGCCGGATGACCCAAAATGGCCGCCGCAACCATTTTCGCACCCTGCCCTCGCTTACCGAGGGTGCGAAAATGGCGGCACTATCAGGAAACTTCACTTAACGGTGAATATAGAAGTCAATGGAATGCATTAAACTAAGTTTAATGCGTTCCAATGGCATTTTGCATCCCGTTTAGTGATGTTTCCTCATAGCGAGGGTTAATCCAGAA